AGCTGAACGCTTAATGTGGCAAGTGACCTGGTTCCTCAAAACCAGGCCCTGAGTTTAAACTCAGTATCCATTTAATAAATATTTACTAGAAGTAAATGATGCCAGGATCTAGAGAGAGAAAATAAGGCAGATGTCAGTCTGGATCTAGACATTGATTTGTTTGAGAAGGATCTAGACTCATGGAATGTGCCATGTTTCTGGTCAGTTTCTTTTTATAAGTATCGCCTATAAATGGACTTACCGTAAGTCCCTGGTCGTGGAAGTAGTTAGGTAAGTAATTGTTAAATGCAGCTGAAAAGACCATTTATCACCCTGAATAAACAGAAATCAGGTTCTAGAACCAGACTGAAAGAAGGAAATTACATCACACTCTTAAATAAGGAAGCACTGGGCAGAGCTGGATGAGTTGTATGACAAAAATGTGCCCCTCCCCCTCTTGTGGATTGCTCCTGAGATTTATTAATGAGATCTGGTAGCCAGGTAAGCATATCTAGGTTACTGCCTTAAGGTAGCCTGGGTCTCTCTCTCTCTCTCTCTCTCTCTCTCTCTCTCTCTCTCTCTCTCTCTCTCTCTCCCTCTCTCTCTCTCTCTGTCCCTCCCTCTCCTCCTCCTCCCCCTCCCCCTCCTTCTCCGTGTGTGTGTGTGTGTGTGGGGGGGGGGGGGATGGTGTGTGTGTGTGTGTAAGCAGTTTCAAATAGACTATCCTGAAGCTAAAGGCATGCAATTTCACCTTAATAAAGCAGGTATGCAGTATGCTTTTGGAATAATTTTTTTTTTTAAGGAAAATGACCTTAAATTTAGCAAAATCACACTAGGTGCATTGTAATCCAGGAGGAATAGTGTGTGAAAAAAAGATAAAGTTCATTGTTTTCATAAAGTACTCCCAGCACCTGCCTAGCAAGCACAAGGCCCTGAGTTTAAACTCAGTATCCATTTAATAAATATTTACTAGAAGTAAATGATGCCAGTATCGAGAGAGAGAAAATATAAGGCAGATGTCAGTCTGGATCTAGAAAATTTGAAGGTGGAAGAGGAAACTGGGTACAGCCCAGAATAACCCAGGAATAGGGAGACACTGATCTGGCTTTTCATAAAAGGAGGGTTTGTGGAGGAACATAACATAAGAAGAGTTGGCCCTAACGTATAAATTGGGTTCTAACAGATTAGGAGAAAAGAGAAAGCTGGAGCAGAAAAGGGCAAGTGAAGGCTGTGTTGTGGAGACCCTGTATGCCAGGCAAGGAGGACTTACTTAGCAGCCTTGAAGGTGTGAGTGGCACTGGCTTGCAGTGTGGGTTGGGTATTTCCAGTGAGGGAAGGAGGCTAGATTTGAGACAGAATGTAGAAATAGTCCATGGTGCTTGGCAACTGAGTGCATGCCTGAACTCAGGCTGAAAAAGGAGCCTCTAAAAGTCTGATCCTCTTGGCCCAGGAACTGGTGGGGGGTGCGTGGTGAGTAAGTGAAAGGAGTTGTTTGGTTTGTAGAGTGCGAGATGCCAGAGGACCAGCCGAGTGGAGAGATGAGCAGCAGACAGTAGGATATGCAGAGTTGAAGCTTGAGCCAGCCTGCAGTTGGCTGTGCAGGAACTGTCTGGTGGAGCTGAAGCCACACAAGTGAGGTGAAACTTGGGATGGAGGAGCAGGAGAGAGTATAAAAGGAAAGCCTCAGAAACAAATGATTTTAAGGTTTTATTCCCTTGAATTAAAAACAAAACAAAGGATGCTAACAGAAAAAGGTAGTTTTACAGGTTTGGTATTTAACTGCATTTTGACCCACTAAAAAGGCTAAAGATGAGCTGATGAATGTAAGAGAAGTTGGTGTGCCCATTATGTCCTGGTCAAAGTCATGCTGCGTGGACATGTAGTCGTGTTTTCCCATGTCATAACAGAATGCCATCTGATACTTTTAGATGCTGATTTTCCCACCTAGGTTTATTTCTGCAATTGTTTTCTAGTGAATTGCAAAATAGAACTGGTTCTGCAGTTACAAGGAGCCACTTCAGCATTAGTCAAATTTCACTTGAGCAGAATGTGTTGCTTTTTCGCTTGAGGTTGGCCAATTGACTGACCCCCCCCACCCTGACACACACACACACACACACACACACACACACACACACACACACACACACACACGGAAGGAGTGAGACAGGGAGAGAGAGAAAAGATAGGCTGAATCCTAGGTTCTTAGAGAGGTGGGAAGCACTTCAGGTGGTTTCATAACCTCAGTTTAAAATCTGAAGAACATTTTTTAAAGCATTTTCTTCCAAGCCTATGGTACATGGCTCTTTTTGCTCTACAGTTTGAAGTTATTTTCCAAGAGAAGAGAACATGGCAATTATATCGTCCTCTCTTCCCCCATGCAAGCAAGTAGGAAGTTCGGACAGTTTCATAAGACAGCCCATTCACAATTCCCCATTGAAATTGAGAGGCAGGTCACCTTCTATGAATACACAAAGACACTATTGTGGCCAGAAGTGAGCTGGCTTAGTGAACACAATTCTTTTTATACTAAAAAAATTTTTTTTCTTAAGAAAGCTAACAAGTAGGTGATGGGAACAATGAATAAGAAATAACTTTTTCTAGTGCGTATAAATAATTTTAAGTGAGCATTGAAATGTGAGTTTCGAATTCCAAGGCCACCTCAGCAGAGGCGATGGTTGCACAATCATCCTGTTGAAAGCTAGGCTGTGGATGGCATTAGGAGGCTGACACAGTAATCACTGGTAGTACTTGGTGGCTTGCCCACAGGTGGGGGTTGGGCCTCCACAATCCCCCGCAGCATTTTCCTGTAATCTGGATGAACAATCTTCAAACGTGCGCTTTCAGACTGCTGAAATGCCATATTCTTCTCCTATCTTGCCTTTCATTTTTATATTACCACAGAACTTTCCCTATGGTCTTGCCAGTGCTTGTATACTGCTTAGAAAAGGCATGATAAACCACTGGGCTAAGTACACAGAGCAGAGGCTGGCCAGTTTTTTAATTGGTTTTTAAATTTTTTTTATAGCTTTACTTGATAGTAAATAACATACTTGCTTCATCTCAGTAGTCTTTAAAAACAACCCTCTAAAGACCTCCCAATAATTGCGATTTCTTAAGTGACTGATCATTTTCTGTAACAGCTATCTTTGAGAGACTGATTTAAAGAACAATAATGGTCAACTATTTGCAATAGTATTTTAAAACTATGACAAAATGTCTGACTTATGTATCAAAACCGCTGGCTTTAGGAGAGTTAAATGCAGAGATTCTGCAATTGGGGCTGGCTTTGTCACTGGAATCTTTAACCGATAGAATGTACTATCTCTACATCCCTTTTCAGTGTGCGTGTGAGGGGGAACAAATAATAAACATTTACAGAGTATTTTTTTAATCTTTGGCTTAAAAAAATTACACCTATGGACTGGGGGCATGGTTCAAGTGGTGGATCACCGCGTAGCAAGCACAAGGTCCTGAGTTCAAACCCCAGTACTTCCAAAACAAAGAAACAAACAAAGCTTTCAAAATGATGCCTTACACAGTGCATGCATTCAGTTGGTGCTGAGATCATGACAATTGGACTCTGTTGTATAGTCAGGCCTTTACAACGTACACTTCTCCAGCACCCGTGTTCCAAGTACCTACATGATTGAAAGGTGATTGGAGGACAGCCTCTTGTTTCTGGCCCACATAGGAGGTGATGAGCTATAAGTAGTAGATTTTAGTTTGTAATAAATAATTTTTAAAGACCCAATGTACCACTATCCCTCTCCCCCTCCCCCCGCGTGTCATAGTCACCTCATGGCATCTTCAGTCTTGAGCATAGCTCCAGCACTTGGTAGGTGTGCAGATATTTAGTGAGAGAGTGAGAAAGTATTGCCATGTGTATCCCAAAGGGGGCGGGATCAGTGTTATACAGGTAGTTGACAAGTCAAGTCCTAATGTCTAAGGAAAAGAGGCCTAAACCTACTGTAAGTATGCAAGAAAATCTGAAGGCAGCAGAGACGCATACTCTTCACTAAGAGCACAAATAATAAAAAAAGTAGCTTCTTAAAAACTATGGGGACTCCAGACCTGTAACATCTGGTAAGGGAGGGCGCTCCTAAAGTTGAGGAACTACTAGTTTAAGAAAAAAATGTACTTAGTCTTTGTAATCCATGCCTTACAGGGAAGCAAGACATGACTTACTGGGCATTTCACAGAGAAGAATGTCAGGAATGTACCTTTCAGTTTGTCTTTGAAGGGGAGGGAGGAAGCTGTCCCAGGCCACCACTAAAGCCAGTAATCTTGCAGAACTTGATTTTACAGGATAAGAGAGGAAATTAGTATCTTCAATTATAACCATTTCTTTCTCGAGTAAGTAATGACTAGAGAATATGTCTTCTGAGGCCAACCCTGAAATTGAGTCAGCATAAAGGTGAGGCTGTAGGAGTCAGGGGTGATGCCGTAGAAGCTCTGCTTTTAATTGTTGGGCTCTAGTGAGTACTGTCTCTGCAGTATGAAGTACTATACTTTGTGGAAATACTTTTTTTTTTGAGAGAGAGAGTGAGGATCTTGATGGATAGCCTAGGCTGGCCTTACCATTCTCCTGCCTCCTGAGTGCAGGGATTGCAGGTGTGTACTACCACCTCTGGCTTGGCTTGAAATTTTTTAGCTTGGGGGAAAAATAAGCAAGATTTGTTTTTACAACCATATCTCGGAAGGTCTCTGTTAGGGGTTAGAGGAGTTCTGTGTACTTTGGAAGGTGAACCTGACTTGAGCAACTGTTAAGTTCTGAAGTAAAAGGTTTGCTTTTCTCATTCTGTGAAAATGTTTCAAGTCTTGGATTGGTATTCATTTTAAACAATGTTTTAATGTCTACATTTAAGTATCCTCATGAGAAGTAAGAATGAAGCAAAAGTTTACTACTAAATGTCCTGTCACATGTGTCCCCCTCTTTCCCTAATGTTAACCTATTGATGCTGTGATGTACTCTGTCCTAACAGACATTTCTGAATTGCATCTTTTCTTGATCCCTCCAGGGAATGAAAGCTACTGGCTGACTTAAGATCCTTGGGCTTCACAAATTTGGAGACATCCCAGAATAAGGCACCATGTCAACAGCAGGAGTTGCTGCTCAGGAAATTAGAGTTCCCTTAAAAACTGGATTTCTGCACAATGGCCAGGTCATGGGAAAGATGAAGAGCTGCTGGGCCGGCCGCAGTGAGTTTGAGAGGTAAGTGGGGACCACAGCGCGCTGGCCTGTGTGAGAATGTGGTGTTAGCTACTGGCTGATGACCGACAAGTTTTTCTTTGCTTTCATTTCAGTAACTTTTTAAATATTGATCCGATAAGCATGGCCTACAGTCTGAACTCCCCTGCTCAGGAGCACCTAACAACTATTGGTATGTATTCAGAGCGGCTGAAGTGAGCACGAGGAGAAAGTGGACAAGCCCGATCCTTTGCCTTGTCCGCCAGCATTATTTTCTAAATGAGGAAACACAGCTGTTTCCAACAATAGTCTGACCCCTAGTGGCAGCAGATTTTCAAGATAACTGTGTTTTTCCTCACACTATTGAACTCTACTCCCTGTATCCTGAAGAGAACTATTTGTGGAAATACGTCCTTTTAAAATTAAGAATTTGATTTTGTATGCATCTCAGGGATAGTGCCTACTTAGCTTTTAGAAAACTTGGACAAGATCTCCCACCTATGTTACGGTATCAGATGCATGTTTGAAAGCGGTATGAGTGTGAATCATACTAGAACTAGACAGTTCTGTGTGCATAGTTCTTTTAATGTCAACATTATGTTCCTTAGATTTTTTTCGAGGACTTTTTATCAGATGGACATATGCAAGTTAGTCCATAACACTCAGTGTTGTGATGTGCTGGCAGTCAGAGCCTTGTCTTAATCTCACGCGTGCCCTGCGTGCCTTGCATCATCACGTGTGTTAAATGGCAAGGCTGGTGTAACACAGTACTCATGTAAATTACATGCTGTTCATCTTCTGCACATTCTGCACACATCTCAAAACTTGCCTGAGATGTGTGGGTGTGTACCATGCACATGTCCAAGGGAGATGGAAGAGATAATTTGTTCTTTGAACAAGATCACGTGTGTTCACCATCTTCTGGCTCTAATTACATCTGTGGTGATTGCCTGGGTGTTCTCAGGGTTCCAGCAATCAGCTAGTTCCCAAACTTGGGCAGAGAGCTAGAGGAGCTCAGGTAGCTGGGTGTCTGTTGCAGAGGGGAGAGGATTGTTCTCTTTGTGAATGTCCCTTGTTCGTTCTAGGGCACATGTCACAATCTGCTCCAGTGAATGGCCATTTCTTTGCAGAAAATGGTCCACCTCAAAAATCCAGCTTGCCCCCTCTTATCATTCCCCCGAGTGAAAGCTTGGGACAGCGTGAAGAGGATCAAGTTACGTGTGGCTTTAAGAAGCTCTCAATGAATGGAATCTGCACATCCACACCTCCGCTTACACCCATAAAAAACTGCCCTTCCTTTTTCCCCTGCGCAGCCCTCTGTGAACGGGGCTCTCGGCCCCTCCCACCACTGCCCATCTCTGAAGACCTCTCTCTGGATGAGACTGACTGTGAGGTAGAATTCCTTACCAGCTCAGATACAGACCTCCTTTTAGAAGACTGTGCACTTTCTGATTTCAAATATGATGTTCCTGGCCGGCGAAGCTTCCGTGGGTGTGGACAGATCAACTATGCTTACTTTGACACCCCCACTGTGTCTGCAGCAGATCTCAGCTACATATCTGACCAAAACGGAGGTGTCCCGAGTGTAAATCCTCCTCCACCTCAAACCCACCGCAGATTAAGGAGGTCTCATTCAGGTCCAGCTGGATCCTTTAACAAGCCAGCCATACGCATCTCCAGCTACACACACAGAGCTTCTCCCAACTCCGATGAAGACAAACCTGAGGTCCCCCCCAGGATTCCCATACCTCCCCGGCCAGTGAAGCCAGACTACAGAAGGTGGTCAGCAGAAGTTACTTCCAGCACCTACAGCGATGAAGACAGGCCTCCCAAAGTCCCGCCTAGAGAACCTTTGTCCCAGAGTAACTCCCGCACCCCAAGTCCTAAAAGCCTTCCATCTTACCTCAATGGGGTCATGCCCCCAACACAGAGCTTTGCTCCTGACCCCAAATACGTCAGCAGCAAAGCCCTGCACAGACAGAACAGTGAGGGGTCTGCCAATAAGGTTCCTTGCATTCTGCCCATTATTGAAAATGGGAAGAAGGTCAGTTCAACGCATTATTACCTACTACCTGAGAGACCACCATACCTAGATAAATATGAAAAGTTCTTTAGGGAAGCAGAAGAAGCAAACCCAAGCACTCAAATCCAGTCATTACCTGCTGCCTGCGGCATGGTTTCTGCCACAGAAAAGCTGGACTCCAAGACAAAAGTGGACCTGGGTGGGCACGTGAAGCGTAAGCACCTGTCCTACGTGGTCTCTCCCTAGACCTGGGGGTCGGGGCTCAGCAGGAGTTACGTGGAGCGGGTGGTTCTCGGTGCCAGCTTGGCTGAAGGTGGCAGAGCACTCCGTTGGCTTGCAAATGAAGCAGTGGAGCTTTGTCTTAGTGGGGAAGGCGTCCTTGTGCTGAGAACCCCGATCTCCCTTGGCTCTGCTAGCATTGGAGAAAGTCTGTCCAAGCCCGTAATTGAAAGACGTGACGGTGGGGAGGGATGGGCGGGGAGACTTTTATATGTGCCTATAGTACACACCTATGTACAAACTCGTGGTATAACCGTAGACCATAGCTGCAGGGTAACCGCTTAGTTACTGTCTTAGAGTAATATATATTCAGAATCTTGGAAACCCAAGCTGGAGGAGTAGCTTCCAGTAGACTGAAAACTGAGCAAATGGAAGAAGAGAACCCCATATTGTTTAGATTGGAATCCTACAAAATTATTTTTGTTAGTAAGTTGAAGATTTTTGGCTTTGGGGCCTACTATGGTTTGCTTCATTTATTTTTACAAGCAGTCTTCTCCATCAAGGGCAGGGCACTCACTCTTTCCCGGGTCTGTGCCTCCTTTTTCAAAGGCATCTCAAAGCCTAATACTTGAGTTTTCAGTTTTTAGCCCATTGAGGGGAAGGATAGCAGTTTATTGGACAACTGTGTTGTCACCTATATACGTCTCACATCTTAGAAAATGAAAAGATAAAAGAATTAGTGGATAATTTCTCCTCATAATTCCTGCTTTCTTCCACCCACTAAAATGGCCCATGGTAGCATGGGTCACAGAGACAGTAGGAGGCAATGGAGTCAGATGGAAAGGTGCTAGCCACCAGGGCTAGGATGTCACTTTTACAGAATAATGAAGCAATAGCCATGAGATTGAGAGTTACTGCGTGGGGATGTGTGGTGTGTTTTTTGTTTTTTTAGACTATATTAATAAACATACAACACAAGCTGGCCTTGTGTTGCTGGTTCCTATTCAGTATTTTCTGGGGATTGTTTGCTTTTAAGTAAAACACATCTGACCAATAGCACAGTACGTCTTAATGCCAGAGGTCACTTCAGCATCTTCCTGCTTTGAAAACTCTCACAGCTGCTGCTTCAACCTCTAGATTCCGTGAGACACATAGCTTGTGTTCACTTTCACCCTCTGCCGCGTTTATCTGGTATAGACAGCACAAAAGACAAGGTGCTCGCTAACAGAGGGACAGGACTGCAATGTTCTCTTAACAGTTAAACAAGCTGTTTACAGTTTAAACTGCTGAATGATATTATTTGAGCTATTTAAAGCTTATTATATTTTAGTATGAACTAAATGAAGGTTAAAACATGCTTTAGAAAAATGCACTGATTTCTGCATTATGTGTACAGTATTGGACAAAGGATTTTATTCATTTTGTTGCATTATTTTGAATGTTGTCTTTTCATTTTAATAAAGTTATAATACTTATTTATGATACCATTAATAATGCTTCTTGTCTAAACTCTTGTAAATGTCTCAAGCAGTTTGACAGCCTTACCATTTTTAAGGACAATGGAAGATTGAAGTTTAATACACATTGAAACTTTCATCATCTAAATGACAGTTTGAATAACTTTATTTGAATACTATAAAAGGAGTGAGCCATTTGTTTTTACCTGTAACAGTTAATTAGTGGACTTTATTGATTCTGGTATTACTGTCAAAACAACTATACTAGTGGGGGGAGTAGGGTCCCCATCAAGAAAGTTTGAGGATGGAGTCTGGAGTGCCCTGAGCCTCTGGGAGGCATTGCTTCTTGCTTGCTTGAGGCCATCCAAGGAATCCCTGATGCCCTGGCTTCATGGAGACCTGTTTGCCATCTGAGGACCCTTCCTCAGAGCCTCGCAGCTCTTTGCCTCGGGGCTCAGCTTCCCTTGCCTCGTCGGTACAGTCCTGCTGCCACCCTTTGTGGCATGACACTCCCAGGTTCCTTTGTTACTGGGTGAAGGGGGCAGCCCCCCGTGACCTTGCTTGAGTGCTTACACTGTGCAGGACACTCACCTCAGTTGAAAGTGAGGACTCAAGTCGGATGACCCGGGTAGGAGTTGAACTCTACGTTTCCGGGTCTGTGTTGGACGGACGATTATAAAACCTCTGTGCCCGTTTTCTCTTTGGCAAAATGGGGTGAGTGGGAACCGTTCTGTGCCATCTGGTTTTAAACCATAGTGACTGGTGTGTAGTGAGGGCACGGTGCACAAGCACTGTCTGTGCACATCAAAAGTCTGCGGTCGTTCCTGGCGTCTCAGATGAAGACAGGTTTATGGACTTCTTGCAACATGTTTATTGAGGACCGGCCACATGCTAGATCCTGGGAAGAGACTTTTCCCCTGCCCTTATGGAATTTAACAGTACAGTTTCGGGTCAGTGCTAAAGAAGTAATGAGCGATGGGGGTGTCAGGTGACGCAGGACATCCTACCTCTGGGAGACTGGATCTAAAGGGCTGGAGTGGATGCTGAAGGAGGTGGGAAATGAATTGAGAGGTGTGTAGCAAAGGAAGCAAGCCTATGTGAGACCCAGAGGCAGGAAAACGCTGGGCATGTTCCAGAAGCTGAAAGCCACTGCAGGAGTAGGCTGGGCGATGGAAAAGGGCCGTGGGTGTCACTCTAAAGATCCCCAGTGGGAGAGGAACGCAATGTGATTGTTTTAGAAATGATGACAGCAGCTGTTGTGTTGGGAACACTGCAGAGAAGTGAAGTGTAGTGGGGACACTGAAGGACACAGGCCGGATGTCAGCAGCAGGGACAGAGAAGCGTGGCTTTGAAAGATAACAGTGAAGCAGAACTGCAGACTCCACATGGCAGATGTAGGCTGCATGGCCCTTCTGAAAGAGGCTGGAGCTCTGGGAAACGGGGACGGGGACGCTGAGAGCCCCTGCCCTGTTCTAGCCCCAGCACTGCTTGGCACAGGTGCGGTACTTGTGGCTTGATCATCTGCATGTCAGCATGGCTGCTACTCTGACTTCATCACCCTCATCACTTTTGCCTCTTCCCCCACCCCCCACCCCGCCACCAACCACACTGTCTTTCCATTAGTTCCATCTTTGCTTCCCTCGTTGTGTTTTCCTTGATTGTACAATGTACTTTTTAAAATTACTTGTCCTGGCCAAACAAATGTTCCTAGCTGGTGGCACACTGCTAGAGCAGTCCAGAGCCCCACGTGCACACTTACTCTCTAGCTTGCACACTGAGCCCTTCAGACCTTGGTGGTTGCTAAGACAGGTACCCATGGGAAAATTGTGTCAACACACTACTGCTTCTATATCCTTGGTTTCTCTCTCAAAGACTGATGTTAGGTGGTAGCAAACTACTGGCCTGACGTAGTTAGGCAAACCAAACTTCAGTCTGACCCTCTCACCCTCTGTGAAGAAATCATGGAGCCTCTCTGAGCCTCGCCTTCCTCTCCTGTGTATGTGAGACTGTGAGACCGTTTCACCATACTGCAGACCTAAGGGGCTGGGAGGTCCTTTCCCAGCAGGACGCAGAAGCTCAAGTCAAGAGGCACTTCTGTAAGCCAGCTCAAAACAGGGCTGAATAGTCTGTCAGTTCCTGAATCACAGTAAACATGTTCCTTGTGCTCTTACTTAATTCCCAAAACATGCTACTAGAAGCTAATGTTGATTGTGTCAAGGGATGTCATTTTTTTTATTTTTTTGAGACAGGGTCTTACTATGTAGCCCACGCTGGCACTGAACTCATGATCCTCCCGCCTCTGCCTCCTCAGAGCTGGGATTACAGGCATGATCACCATACCCACCTTCAAGGGATGTCTTGACTATGTTAAAAGAAAGAAGAACTATCTTTAAAAGGATCTGTCTTTTCCTAGCACCACAAAAGAAAAAAAAAGGCCCATAGAGTCTTTTAGATCAATTCATAGTTGACTAGAAAAAAAGAGAACAATGTTTACTAGTTCAAGAATCAAAACTCATATGTATATTTTAGTGTGTTTTGCTGCGAATTGAACCCAAGACTTCCTGTGTGCTAAGCACTTGTTCTACCACTGAGCAACACCTCCAGCCCAAGAATCAAAATATTAAACTATCTTCTATTTTGGTTCTTAATTTTATCACATAATTAACAGTCTTAGAGTATATTGGAACTTTAAAAAAAAATAAAGATCTTAGTTATTTCATACATAGTTTTCTATCTTGAAATAATTATACACTCAAAAGAGGTTTCAAAAACAAGAGTGGTTCCCCTGTACCCATTACTCATATTTCACCAACGATAGCATCTTACATGCCATCAAGATCAGGAAATGGGGCTGGAGGAGTGGTTCAAACAGTAAGAGTTCCTGCCTAGCAAGCGTTGAGGCCCTGAGTTCAAGCCTCAGTGCTGCCAAAAAATAAAAAAAGAAATGGACATTGGCACAATATTCAAATATTTTATTTAGAAAAAGTGACTATCAAAACGAACTTCGGTCCTACTTTTTCAAGGTAACTTAGTAATTTGGGCATTTTATAAAAACGTAGTGAAACTTTTAAAAGCTGTTCTATAAAGGTAGCACAATCATGGTACATTGTCCTTGAGAAATAAAACGCTCTTTTTCGGTCCACTTGCCCAGGTTTCCTGGCAGGTGAATTTGCTGTAGCTCGCGGAGACTTAAGCTTGGATTCCTGGATGGTTTTTTCTAAGGTCTCTGCATCTCTACAGCTCTGGGCTTCCACATTTTCCATTTGAAATGTGTAACACTCAAGGAGGCCAAAGTATTCATTTCTTATCCAGTCCTGAAGTTTTGAAATATCCTTGGCATTAAGAAATTAAGTTTTTGCCAGGTGCTGGTGGCTCAGGCCTGGAATCCCAGTTACTCAGGAGAATCAGGAGGATCGCAGTTCAAAGACAGCCTGGGCAAATAGTTCTTGAGACCCTCTCTCAAAAAACCCTTCGCAAAAAAGGGCTGGTGGAGTGGCTCAAGGTGGAGGCCCTGAGTTCAAGCCCCAGTGCTGGAAAAAAAAAAAAAAGTTCAGACTAAAATGCACTCCAAGACTTGTTTTCTTTGCAGACAAGGTCATCGACCTAGTGGTCTGGCCCCTTAGCTCTTTTTCTGTGAATCATTCAACTTTTAAGAGAAGTTTGGGGGCTTTATTTGGGTAAAGAAGAGGTGAATTTGGTAAAAAGTTCCCACCT